AGCTTCATCAAAACCAAAATTTCAGTAGTAATTTTTTAGCGAGAGAAGTAGGGATTCACTATTATCATAAAGTTTCATCAATCCAGATTTTTTTTTTTTAGCGAGGGCGCAGGGGGTTTTTTTTTAGCGGGAGCACTAGGGTTTCGTCTTTCGTCAGCAGAATTTGAAGTTTCGTCATTTTGGGGCTTAAGTTTCGTCTTTCGTCATCAAGCAACAAAGGTTTCATCTAACAACTATAAATTAGACTTATTTTTTCTGTCAACAGAAAACCTATCTTCGGGCTTTCAATGTTCAGTTGGCTTTCTGTATGTTGTCTATGGATAATCTATAATCGGAATAGATTGCCCATAGATAGCATGCAGAAAGCCAACTAAACATTGAAAGCCCGATAACAGGTTTTCTATTGATATACTCATTTTATGTATACAAATATATTTTCTATGAAACTCTACTAGAACAGGAGGAACTGTTGATATGTCACAAAATCATTGCACAATTGATAAAAAATTTTTTTATATTATTTTACAATACTTTTTTGGAAAGCTTGCTTAACTTATCTTATTTATGAATATTGAAAATGGTTAAGCAAACATGAATCTCTCACTTTGCTTTACAACATGTTTTTTGAATCCCCTTGATTCCATGGTTTCGTCTTTTTGTAAATTTTGCAATTTGATTGGTTTACTAATCCCATAGTGATATTTTGACTGGTCGATACAATAAGTGATCTGTGTAACAGAGAATGAAAATCATATCTATATTTGGACGGTTCCTCCTGTTCTCTACTAGTGGTGTTTCATTTTCCAATTTTATAATTTTTAAATACAAATACGATTTTTTAACATCCTACTTACTTTTGAAATACACTAATTTTAAAACCCCTATTATCAATAGAAATAATATAATGTTTACCACAGGTGATTATCACCTGTGATTTACAATGCATAAAAAAAACAATTTTATGTGGCAGATTAAAATGAGATTTTTCTATTTTTTTAGGAAAATTTAAAATTTTTTAGGAAACATTTTTTAGGGTTAGGGTTTAGAGTTAGTTTTATTAATAAAAGAGTATAAGTGGGTTTTATAAGCTTTAAAGGTGATCAAGAAAGGTCCTCAGTTTCATTTTAATCCGATTTCATTCTGATTTGTGACATTTTATAAATAAAAACAAAACAAACATCTTTAATATTAGGGTTAGGTAGGGTTATAGGTTAGAGGTTAGAGGTTAGGGTTAGAGGTTAGGGTAGTGCTTTATATATAGTAAAATTTAGTAAGAAATTTTTTTGTTAGAACTTGAAAAGTAGTTTCATAGACAAAATTTTGAAATATAGGCATTTTTTAAAAAAATTCTTTGTTTTTGTTATACAAAGTTGATTTACATGTTATCTGGATTTTAATTGGCAAATTATATTAGAATTCTTCTATCAATAATAGATTAAAATTATAAAGAATTTACTAATAGGGCCCAGCTTTGAAAATAATTTAAATAGAGGCCCAAAATGAAAATTATTATATATGAGTGCGTGATAGTGAAAACCTGGAAACATATTTAATGATTCATTATGATTGGTTACAGGTTTCACTCTCATGCACTCATATAGAGGCCCAAAACCCAAAAATTATTACAACAAAGAGCTGAATTTTATATGTTACATAATCTTCATATGTGGCTTAGCCATGCTTGAGGCTTTTGTAATAATTTTTGGTTTTGTGCTTTTATTTTCAAATCTAAGAACTTATTTGTAAATTCCCTAAAATTATTTAGCAGCCACAGCATTATATTTTCCGATGCTTCTAATAATGTATGTGATTACAAAATTTTGTTATCATAATGCACAGATATTAAAAGCAAATAAATAAAAAAGTAAGGCTTTAAATCTATAATACCTTTGTTTATATTTAAGCAATATCTGTAAATTCAGTTTTATTTATGTTTATGCAATGTCAGTAAGTTTAGCATTTAAAAGATTTAAATAGACTGAAAATTAAATTTTATCACAATAAAAAAAAAAAAAAGTCATATAGTAGTATTCAAATTACAAAAGATGATAAAACAATAGCCCAAAGATGAGAGAAATAGAGAAAGAGATTGAGGAACTATGCTGAAAAATTGCCAAATTAGAGACTATTGTTAATTGCACCCCACAACAAGAACAAGATTTAAAGGATAAGAAAAAAGAATTAGCCAAGTTAGAAAAAGAAAACAAGAACAAATAACTACAGATATTACTATGATAACATGTTCACCGAAAATAAAATTTATAGCTACATGGAGTATGCAAAAAGAATTAGTTGTTGTTTAGTGTATTGTTGATAATAAACATCAGTTAAAATATGAATATACAATTCCAGACATGAAAGATAACAAATGTTTAAAATTATATGGAAATTGTCAAGATCCTATTCGAAACTTTAATAAAAATTTTACTATTTCTGATAATAAACTTGTTTCGGTGCCAATTTTTAATAATGAAAAAGGAGCCGAAAGTAAAATTGGTAGGTATTTCTTTTTATGAATTAGTTACCTACTTTTATAGTTTTGTAAATTTTTTTACATCAAAAAAATTGATATTAGAAAAAATATTTATAGAACATGAATATAATAACTGATTAGTGAAATTGGTACTGTATATGTTTATATAAGAGATTAAACACTTATTCTTCAGCCACCCCCAGACCTCTATTACTATTCCACTATTAGCCTATATAGATGATACTGTTTAGCATTGCGAATGCTCTAAAGATCTACAAAATATTCTCAACGATGCCTCTTCCTTATACAAAATCAATAATATAGAAGTCAACCCAACAAAATCTGATCTGCTTCATATATCCTCCAAAAACTCCAAGACATTAAATCATATTCTTACATTTAATAATCAAGCAATTTCTCCTACAAAACCTACGGACATAATTAGATATCTAGGTATCTACTATGATAGTTCTGGCTCATCCAAACCAACTCTCAATGCAATATATAACAAAATAGAAAACTTCTTAATGCTTATTCGCTATAAAAAACTACTGCCCTCTTAAATTTCCTCTCTATTCAACCTTATCTATTGCAAATTATCCCAATACACAAAAACACTCAAACCAATCTTTCTCGACTTCTTTCTATTCAAACAAAAAGAATGCTTTCACTTGCAAAAAATAC